AAATTTCTGATTAAAATATAATTTATTTGTAAGAGAAAAAATGTACATACATACATATATACTTTATTATTATAATGGTAAAAATGTGTTCCATCTATTTACTACGCGCTATGTGCAGCTCGTTAAAAATTTACCGAGCCAATGAAATTTTGTTGAGTCTACAGTCGGCCCCAATTTGTGGATATATTGCATATATGTAGCGCCAAGAGCACATAAATCATTCATAAACATGTGGAAATCTTTAAATATTTATTGAAAGCCCCCAAAGAGAACAGATCAACAAACCATAACAAACGATGACGAAGACAGAAAAATTGTCGCAATTGGTGCGCGGCCCAAGAAAACTCTCAATGAATATCAATGACAATGTCTAGAGAAGAGTGTAGAGCGGAGAGGGTAGAGCGACGAGAGGTGATAAGTGCTGAGTGCTGAGCGGATGGCCTCCCCTATGAGTGGATGGATGTATAGGCAAGGGGTGCTTAGCCAATCGTGGTCACACCCCCGCATTGTTGGCATTCCTGGAAGCTGGCACGTACTACGTATATACTATTCGTATGGCTACTTGTCGGGTTATATCAGCGCACTTAAAATATGCACAGTGACGCATCCGCTGAAAGATATATGTCTGGCATCTACCTAGCAGCTCCCACATAGTATTATCGCATATGTATGCCTTCGGCTTGTAGTTGTAGGCGTTGCATGAAACATGCCCCCATGCCCATGCCCATGCCCAGTCCCATGCCCTGCACGTGTGCGCGCCACATGGCTAGCCACTCAGAGTGTGTGTGTGTGTGTGTGAGTCTTAGAGTGGTTGTGAATGTAGACCTGGAAGTAAGTCATTGCTGTGGTGCAAAGTATAACTAAATTATTGCTTGATATGCTCCCTGACAGATGCGCCATTCGGTGCTCGTGCCATTCCATGGGCATCTGCATCTGCTGTGGCGCCAGCCATGCTTGTGAGCATAAACTATGTATATGCCCGCAATACTCGCAATTAATAAGGCTGCCAAGGTAAAATAATGCGCAGAAATACATACATACATACAATACATGCATATGCAATTGAAGCAGCCGCTGGCCGCCAAAATACTAGAGTTTCCTCTATTCCTCTTACGCCTTCTCTTTCTTCTTTCGCGTTTCCTAATGAATTTACGACGCTTTCGATCGGCCAGCGACGGCGAGCGTAACTCAAATCTTGTGCGGGTGCGCAAATGACTCAGACTGTTGGAAGAAACTCAACTGGAATGCGCGCTCATTGCGCGTTGCTCTTGAATTTCTGAATGCGATTGATCGACTGCCGAAAGCCTCTCCAGCAGCAAGCAGAAGCAACTTATGGAGTACCCTGCGCGGGTGTGTGCACAGCGGGTACACGACTCAAGCAACCAGCGAAAAAAGCTCAATCTCAACGAGCCGAACGCTCGCTCTTTGGCTAACTGTAATGATCGCGCTGACTCTCTCGCCGCGAGCCGAGTGACTGGCGTTCGGCTTCGGCTATGAAAAGACTTTAAATGGTTGAGTTCACGATTCAGTGCAGAACCGCAGGCGCAGCGAAGTAGAACGCACGAAGACGACGGCGGCAACGACGCGGCGAAAATTATTGTGTGAAAATTATTGTTATCAAATGCAAATGCAACAAGTCTGAGACCTGACAGTGCGAGTGAACAAATTAAGCAGAGCCCCGCAGTGGTTAATAGTGCTAAATAAACAGTTTTTGGTGCTTAACGTTTAACGAGCACAGATTAATTATTCCGTAAAAAACACCTAAAAACAAATTATTTGCAGTCGACTGACGATTCAGGTATTTTAATTATTTCAGTTTTATTTGCATGCACTTAGCATAAGGAATTTATGAATTTGCTCGAGATGAGTGCAAATTGTAAACAAGCAAGAATTGTGCGCGATTCGCGCGCGATTTAAAACGCGTGTTGCCGGGGCAGACGTCAAACTCGCAGTTGCAGCATCGTTGACATAGCGACACAGTTTTCCATATTCACACACAGGCAAACACACGCACACACACATACACGTGGCTGCATTTCTTTCTATTTATTTGTGCTCGAACATATTTGCGTTTATTTTTAATTTGTTTTTATTTCTTTTTTTCTTCGCTCGCTGCCCGCTTTTCTTTGCTTCGTCGCAATACATACATACATATATGAATATATATACATATACATATGTGTGTGTGTGTGTATATTTGTTTCTTTAATTTTCTGCTCAGCTTTGATTTGCCTTAATAGTTTCTAATGTCGCCAATTTGTAAACAAAACACAGCTATAAAAAAAAAAATATTTCTATATTGTGCAATCCAGCAACATAAATTCATTTAGCACACGGCATCAAAAGCGTGGGCAACTGTATATTTGTACGCATTTATGTAAAACATCCAGCACATTCAAAAATGTCAAGGGAAGCTGTGTGCCTGGGTGCGTTTCCATATTACGCATACGCCATGCGTGGCGCTGTTGGCATTGGCCACTTAACGCCTAGGCCTAAGCTATAAAACATTAAATGTTTAACAATTTTTCGTTAGAACATTTGCTAATTTATGCAAATTCGAGTGCAAAATTTTGTTAGCCATAAAATATCTTACACATTGCATTTAAAGTGCTTTGAGTGGTTCGCTCAGTTTTGTACAACTCTTAAGCATTTCCTTCACTTGACCTTACGTTTGCTTCTGCTTTAGTCAGCTTGTTAATATATTGCTGTATTCCATCAATATATATATCTCACTATATGTTTGTATTTATTCTGGGAAATGTGAACATGAATATATGTAGCTGACTTGATTTTCATATATATCGTATATATCTGCTTTGCATATATGTTCGGTAAATTCTTGAAAAAACTGATATTGTTGTTGGTTCTTTTGCCTTGAGTCTTGATAGTTAATAATAAATAAAATGCTTATTTTGTTAACTGTATAAAGCTCACAGCCGAATAGTATGCCTGAAATATTGCCA